AATCTTTAGGCACTGTCTTCCATTTTTAAGACAGCTTAATAATGAAAAATGTCGAAATACACACCTTTTATTTTCTTACTCTGAGTAGTTTGAGTTTAATTGATCGAATTACTAAGATTAGTTACCCACATTCTTAAATTCCTCTCTATTTTCTTTCTTTTGGATTTCGGTAACTCACCTTTTTCAAGTTTTTGTAGAAGAGTGTCATTTATAAGTTTCTGTTTTTCCTTTAAATAGTAGTGGTAGCATTTTTAAAATATATAAAATAATCAGTATTTACACGTCTTATGTCAATAAGTAACTGAAAAAATTACTTCTTATAATTCCAACTTTTTTTGAAGTAAAAGCTTTTCGAGGTGTGGCTCTTCCTTCTTTGTGATCAGCTCTTGACACAATCATTGTTCTAAGAACCAAATCACGTTCCAAATACAATTCTAATGCTAATTTTTTTACAAATAGAGAAGCAGTTTGTTTTTTTTTTAATAGAATTTTGTTCCACGTTTTTAAATCCATTATATATTTGTAACACAAATGGATCTTTTTTTTCTATAAATTTATGCACAATTTTTTTAGAATGTAATAATGTTGCATAAAATAAAAACATTCTGACGTACACAATATACTATTTTTCTAAAATACTTACAGATGACTCTTTGCATGTAAATTCTTCGAAGTCTTTATAATTTTGTGTAGTGCATGTTTTTTTTAAATCGTATTTGTAATCATCTGAATCATAATCACACAAATCCATGTATATTTGTTTTTTATTTTTTTTCTTAGTCGATTAACTTGTAATTGATTGTTTTGTATGTCGTAGAGATTCTGTTTCCTTGTTTGGACTTATCTTTTTTTTAGTATGCTTATCGGTACGTTTTACTCCTTTATGCGAGCCATACATCATATGTTTAGAATAACTTTCTAGTTAAAAAAATTTAAACGTTATGAATACATATAAAGTACGCCATATGCATACATGTATAAATTAAAATGTTTGTGAGTTCAGACAAAATCTTACCTTGATCATTAGGTGTTGATATCTTGTTTGTGGGGGTACCTACTAAATTTACGTAACATCATTACACAGTTTCATATAAAAAATAATTATTCTTATGTGTTTAAACAATATAAGCATATTATGTACATATATACGTATATTTTTAAATGTTATACATGAATAGAAACTTCATTTTCCCGTAATCTACTGATTTTTGTAATTACTGCAGTTAAATTATCTTTCAAACTATTTTTGAAAAAAAGGAATTTTAACAACTTCTCTCGAATGTTTCTACCATAAAATAAAACTTATCACGTTGTACGCAAACAACTAACTTTTCTGGCAACAGTTGATGAACACGCGCGCGCGCGCGCGCGCACACACACACACACACACACACACACACACACACACACACACACACGTATGAAACATGCGTTGATGCAGAATCTTACCGTCAGCCATTGGCAGTGTTTGCTTTGGCGAGTAATTATTATTTATATAAGTAGGTTCAACTGTTTCATCAGTGAATTCTGGCATCATTTCACCGGGCTTCAGAAATGGACTTGAAGTAGCGGGATAATTATTAGGAGCTTTCTCTGTGAAATAAGAAATAATTACATTTAAATAATTTAGTAGTATGATTAGAGAGTGGATCGTTAATAATTAAAAATCGTATTACCGCGAGGCGCTACATATCCTATTGAATCAATTTTCTTTTTGTTATAACTTAATTTTGGAGACGGTGAAAATAGTTTTCTACGTGCAACACGACCAGACACTGGAGTTTCTAATAGTTTGTCGTATCCTCTACTAGTTTGTAAGTAATTGATTTGTTCTTGCAAGTCTCTCTTTTCACTTTCCAATACTTCTGTGTTGGCAACACATTGCTCCAACAAAAAACTTATTTCACTTAATTGTTTTTTTGTTTCCTCTAATTCGTTATTAACATTATCTACTTCACTTCTGGACTTTACAAGGGCAATTTGTAAATTGTCAATTTCCTCATCTTTAAATTTTACTTCTTTTTCCAAAGCTTGTACCTTAGTTTTGAAATCTTTGATATTTTCAGTAATATTTAGTAGATCAATATCTTGGACTTGGTCGTCATTTTGTACAGGAGAATAAGAAGGTAACTCGTAGCTCTGCAATGCTGTACTAAGGATAATTTTCTGACGATCAACTAAGCTTCTATCATCGATAATTTTTTGTGCCTTTCGTTTTATTATTTCCAGTTGACTTAACTTATCTGGAGTTTTTTCTTTTTTTTTCCCACGAGTTTTCTTTGCTTTTCTGGCCTATGTCATATTAAAAAAAAATAAATATTTTTGTACGAAATAATAAATTAAAAATTTGAGTGGACAGTACCGGTATATTTTTAACAGATTTTTTTGAATCATTCTTCAAACGTTTTTTATTCCCAATATCACTTTCGTCATCTGTGTAAGCTTTGTGGTCAAAACTGTCGTCTAGCTAAAAAAATCAATAATACGTGTAACCAAAATAAGGCTATATGAGCAAAAAAAGCAAATAATGAGTACATTCCGCTTCCTTGAAGTTTCATCTTCTGAATCCGAAGCATCGGCGAAGTTTGGTCGCACCTGGCGCGACTGTAAATAATTTGTATATAAATAGAGAAAAACGCAATAAAATTTTAGCTTACTATTTGCTCTAATGTACCCGAGATTTTTTTGATTTTATCGGTGTTTCATCTGATTCCTTTTGTTTCTCAGCCTCTTCGTTTTCAGAATCAGATTCGTCTGCCAACTTTGCTAATGCATCACTGTACCTGTAATATTTGCTAGATGGGCAAGGGTATCGCCTTTCAGGACTTTCAACATCCTTGCGTACAACTGCAGTGGATATATGTTAATAATCATATGAAACTAAAACTAATAATTAAATATAAATCATATGTTCACGTAAATGTTTTAAAATAATTGCTGGCACACAAGTTTTTTTCGATGTTTTTTCATCAACAACGATCAGGTGATAGGGATTGTTGTAGGGTTTTGTGGTTACGTCGGAATGGTTTTCAGGGTGGAATTTCTTGATCTCATTACTGGTGACAATCATTGGTTTGCTAAATCGGTTTTCTTTTTCGATTATTCTTACTGCAACGTAGTATTTTTTTTGTGGTTCTTCGATGCCCTCAGCAATTTTTCCAATTCCACCATCATTTTCATGGTCACTGATGTCGTTCTGTTCATCGACGTTATAATCATCAACATCCCCTTTCTCATCCGATGATGTATCTACATCCTTGGATGTATCTGCATCTGCAGCCATTGTTTTCAACTATAGTTGCTGGAGAGTAGATGGGAAACAAAAATCTTGATTGAAAACTTTTGTGGTTTTACACAATTTCTATACATACATATACATATATATGTCACTTACCCATGAACTTGGCACGTGGTTGTCCTGATTAATTAACACTGAGACGCAGATGACTACTAACTATACGATTTAAAAAAGGATTTAAGCAAGTTGTGCGAGCATGCGCTTTACCAAGAATAATAATTAAGTACAGTGCAATAAACCATTTTATCTGAAACAAGTTCACGTTGAAATTCGTTTACAAACCTAATTTCAATTGGGTAGACAAAAGTAACAGAGAAACTGAGGCACTGCCTACGATAAGGGTTCATTGTGGTATGTGTCAGGGTGCGTTTACATTGGAATGGTTCTGAATTACGGCGTCATTTACGGGAGCCGTACCACATAACTTTCCATGTAGCTTGACGCCATCTGATTTGTATCTTAAGATGTTTTGAGTATGTGAGTAAGTTGTCTGTCAACAGTAGAAAAAGTTACATGCTACCAACCCAGTCGGTACACATCAAACCAGTAGAGGACGGTGAACGGTTTCTTTTTTTTTCGGTCGGTCGGGGGGGGGTAGCATGTAACTTTGCCTGCTTCTGTTCACCGGATCTGGCCAAACTATTTATGACTTAAAGATAACTTACGACGTCTTAAAGACATACATAGTTTGTCCAGATCGGTTGGACAGAGGCCAAGTAAAGGGCGTATTACATAACTCGCGCACGCGGCGCGCACGGAATTTTGATACATTCCGAAACGTATATTAAAGCATGTATTTAGTGCGTGGTGCGCGCCACGCACGCGAGTTATGGAATACGCCCAAAGTTTTGTGCTACCACCCCAGTCGGTCGCTCGGTTCAGCTGGTTCGGCCGTTCCGGTCGATCAGAAAAACGTTTTGCTAATAATCTTGTCTCGGACGTTGCTTTAGGTGCGATTTTGATAGATTTTTATTTGTATCGTAAAAAAAAGAATATTTACAAGAGTGCTGGGTCCTTTAGAAAAACAACACCACTGCAGAGCCGATAATTTTGACAATTACGATCCTGACAGCGTTCATCCTCCGTATTTCAGACCTCGGCTACATCCACCTTAATTGTCAGTTTGTCACGTTCAATCCTCGACCTTCGACCTTCGACCTTCGACCTTCGACCATGTTTGACTGGAGCCCGGCAGGGGGGGGAGGACTTTCTTGACCAAAGTTACTGTAGGTATCACCTTCGAGGACACTTTTCGCCAGCTTTATCTCATTCGCTTTTATTGCTTACAGTAATTAATATTGTAAGTTATAACAATTTTTATTAAATTTGGTGTTTATGGTAACTATTCTAGAAAAATACATGTGTAGTTCATTACTAAGTGTTAAAGATGCCTGTCACGTGCTGGCCTTGGCGGTAAAGGTTAGTCACATGCTGTGAAAGTGACCCACAGCTGATGAACAAATTTTATTAGTACTGATAACTAACGAACTACGTTCTTGCATCGTTCAACTTCATATAATTTCATCAATATGAGTAATCTACCACGATCTACTGCATCATATCGACGAAGAGTTGGGATAGACAACATGGACGATGATAGCGGAGATGAAAATGTTTAAGTAAGCTCATAATTTTTAGTCTGTGAGGTTGACGTAAACAAAACGTCAGTAATATATACATCTTAAGAATAATATGTGTGAAATGAATGTCGAATTTCACAAACTGTACAGCACAGAATTAAGGATAGAAATATACTGCAAAGATGTCATATCAATATACGCAAACTCTCATTTGCATGCTTATGAAATATGTGTCTATATTTATAAGTATGTGTTATCTTAAAAATAATGTCTATTTATTCAATATTACAGAACGAATTAAACCAATTTCCTGCCAGTACACGCAGTGCAACAAATCATTCAACTGCAAGTAATGTAATTGAGTCAGCAGCTAAACAACTTTCACAACTTAACAACGCGAACAGTAGCAGTTTTACATCTACAAATGCCAATAAGTCAAACCCAGTGAATCTTTTTACCGCTTCACTCATGGACATGGACAATTCCCATGATGACAGTCGAAGTAATAATGTGAATACATCTGGATCAGAGAGTTACGTAAGTACCTTATTTAAGGTCAATAATACTATATGTTTGTTGTGAAGGGTTACAGATATTTTTTATGGTTTTGTTGCAGAATAATGATGGTAGATGTGCGTTCTTTGGGCTCAATCAAAGGGAAGATGAAGTTTTTGAGGTAAACAACATATTATGACCGTTTCATTATTGAATTGTAGTAAATATATACGTATTGCTTGAAAGAATAGTAAGATACATATTCACCGTTAAACATGAGAAATACGGCCAAACAATGATTTTATTAGTATAGTCATACAAAATTTATAAACATATAAGGCATTTTGCGTAAAGTAGGACAATGAATCAAATTTTTTTACAGAATCACAATTATTCCCTTTCACCATCTTTTAATCGATTTTATTGGCAGAAGGCAGCGGAACGAAAAAAAAAAAAAAAATAGTTTATTGATAGCAAATTTCTCGTTGGTTAGTATAGAAACACAGAGACCAATTGTAATATTTAGTCTCACCTCCATTCACTTTCAGTTTGAGGTTATACAGTATATAATACAGATTCTTTTAAGTAGGACATATATTTTTTTAAAACAAAGTACTTTATGGCGTGCTTGGATGAGTTTTGACGGGAGAAAAGAGACAAGAGACTCCAATTTGGAGTGGTATTTTACGTGAAGAGAGTCTACTTGAGAGAGAGAGAGAGAGAGAGAGAGAGAGAGAGAGAGAGACTAGACGAAACTTGATGTGAGGATTTCTTTTTTATTTAATTGATCTGAAGGCCGAGAGAGGCGCTGTATTTTTTCAAAAGTAAGGTCAAGAGCAATGTCTCATGCAGTGAATTTTTCATGTTAGTTCCTTCTTTCTTTTATAAGATAGAGGGGGAAGCCTTCCCCACCAAACTGTATATGCATAACAATAATCATGCATAAAGTATTTATAACTTTCTTTACATTACTTCCTTCTTATACATATACATAAAAGTACATCGACAATCATGTATACAGTATTCAATACGTACAATGTCAACCTAACGTTTAAAAACACAATAAACCGCTGTATCTCGAAAGGGAAGCGTAATTGGCTAAAAATAATAATTTTGACGGGTTTCTAAAGGGGAACTTAAACATCGAGGCGCACAAATATTGAGTGGTGGACTGTGTACGAACGTAACCTCAATTTTCTCGTATTTCAACTATATCTTGTTTTACAAATAACTTTGTGATAAAATTTGTATTTTGTCCGCTCCTACGTTGAATGTCCCATGTAAATTAATATTTTGTTTTATCAGGAAGAAAGATTTCAAGATGATTATCCAGACGTATTATTTGATGACAGCAGCGACGATGATATTGAAAACAGCGAAGAAAATGATCTTGGAGATATGGATGCTTCAGACAGCGAGGATATTAGGGCCGTTTCGAAATCTCTACACTTTAATTAAAAAAGAGGAAGAAATGAAAACTGTCGTTACTACACCCCTAATTGTAAGTAAATCAGAAATGATGCTTGGTTTAATGAAATTCGCCGTTATTCATAAGTTATCGCAGACTGCCATCGAAGATGCATTTAAATTGATCAATAGTTTTTTTATCACGAAAGTTTTGCCAGATACGCGATATTTTATTAATAAACTATTCAATAGTAACGAGAATGTACAGTCACATGCTGTATACCCCAAGTGCGATAAATATATCAAACAGTTTGATGAAAACGAAAAAAAAATTAAATGTTACTCATGTGACACTGTCGTTAATCTAAAAAATCCTACGTATACCAATTATTTCGTGATTTACGATGTAAAAAAAGAAATAGCTAGTTTGATACAGCAAAATAGTAAATATTTTGAAAATTTGAAAAACAACCCGAATAATGACGAAGTAATGAGAGATTTTACTGACGGTTTGATGTACAAAAAAATTATAAGCAACCTTTCAGACAAAGAAAAAAAAAGTTTTGCTTCGGCTACCATAAATAGCGATGGATCTCCTCTTTTCGTTAGCTCAAATTTTTCAATTTGGCCAATTAAACTCATCATAAATAAAATACCATATGATGAACGAATAAAAAAACCTGTTGTTTGTGGTATGTGGTTCGGTAAAGGTAAACCGGATATGGATATATTTCTAAAACCCTTTGTCGATCAAATGAATAATTTAGCCGAAGTAGGCGTAATATTTACAATCAACGGTCAAAAACGGCGCTTAAAAGTATACGTTTTATGCTGTTGCGTTGATTCTCAAGCACGTGCTCCAATGCAGGGAATCAAGCAGTACAACGGCTATTATGGATGTAGTTGGTGTTTACACCCTGGCTTTAATGTACAGCAAGGCAGAGGTCGTAGCATCAAATATGTAAATATAAACGTACCAGTTTCTCAACGTACAGAGTCTAATATGGTTTTACATGCAATAGAAGCACTCCATGCTCCAAAAAATGACAAAGGGGTAAAAGGGGTACAAAAACTGACGGTCTTAGCAGACTTACAAAAATTTAATATTATAGACGGATTCGTTCCGGACATCCTTCACTGTAATAACTTAGGAAACGGTGAAAGATTTTTAAAGTACTGGATAGATACTTTAAAGTTACCGTATTCTTTAGATAAAAACGACGTAGATAAAATAAACAAATATTTAAATGATATAAAGCTTCCAAATCAATTGCAAAGATTGTCTCGCGACGTAGATGACAGATTTAGGTTTAAGGGCGTGGAGTATGAAAATTGGATTTTGTTTCTAAGTGCTCCAATTTTGAATACTTTTCCAAACTTTCAGCCTTATGCTAAACATTGGAACTTGTTTGTCAGAGGGTATTATATTCTAATGCAAGATTGTGTTGGACCTGCTGAATTACAGTTCGCGCATGAACTCTTAACAGAGTTCGTTGTTGAAAC